TTTCTCCGTACCGCTGTCGCGTGTTTGGCAATTCACGTTCGGAGCAGTCTTCCAGTTTCTCCGACGTAGTTGCTTTGTCCCCAACCTCACCATATCCGGTAAACGACTCCAGATATTTCTTGCCGTAGAAGTGGGTCTTTTGGTCTCATCATCTGACGCCTCATGGTGGCCTCCGGTCTGTGTGCAACTCCAAACCCAAGTGGGGCAAGAAGGCGGCTAACGGCCTCTGAGACGTTCTTGATGCACGGGATTGCTTGCCAGAACTTGGGGTCGGCACGATTTTGTCGCTCGTCTCGTTTGCACATGCATCGGTTGACGAAGTTGCGCGGGTAACCATTTTCTCTGAAAACCCGTCGAAGATATTGGGATTCGGCAAGGTGGTCTTCCGGTTCACTGCAGTGCGTCTCAACACGCCGATATAGCGTTCTTACGCAACTGCCTTTGTGGCTGATTGGGTGGTTACTGCTGAAGTTCAGTATTTGCGTCGTGTTCGCCGCTTTTCTGAACACTCTGGTCTTTAGGCCACCACAATCTTTACGACAGACGAAGACACCAACGAATTCCAGCTGGTTATTTTCTTCCTCCTCCATCGTAAATTGTATGTCCTGGAAGACGCTGCTGAGACGTTCTTTGAACGTTAGCCCCTGATCCCTGTCTGTCTCTGATGATGGATTTAAGTGAGAGTCCGAAACGTTAGGCGAATAAAGCCTTGTTCCAGCGATTGCTTCTTCCTCTGATCAGGAATTTGAGGTGTTAAAAAACGGGCTAACAAATCAACAGTCGTACCGCAGATGAAGCCAAAAGTTGTATGCTTTCTCAACAAGGACCCTCCAATTCATTGCGTAGCATCTCTCTCTCCCCACGTCGCATTCCAATAGCAATACCAAGTCAAGTGTAGATAAGTCTGACTACAAGTTCATGCAAGCAGCACAAGTAGGTACGGTGGGGGCATCGTGGCGGAATTATGCGCCGCGGTGGCAGCTCAACACCGGAGGCTCGCAGCCCTCACCTATTGGCTGAATGCCCAGATCCTCAATAACTTCAACTTCCTGGGGTTTACTCTGACGTCGTGAAACTTGTCAAATCATCATTGATTTCCGCACATCGCTCAGGGGTTTGTGAGGTCATAGTGAGTCCAGAATCCATTCAATTTGGAGGGAAGGGGGGTTAACAGTTTAACTGGAGGAATTTTGAAGGAACTACTAAGTGTCCTCTTTAATGCTGCAGACTACACAACATACAGACAGCTTTATCAGACCGGTCAATACGTTCGGTTCATCCGAATTCATCGACGTATTTCCTGCGGACAACGGACCGAAGATGTCGGCTTGCGTGTTACACTGGATGAATAAAGAAGGAGATCTAAATCAATAAGAATACTCCTTCGTTAATTAAAAAGACATAATCTCAGCGAAAAACTGAATTTCTCGATTTCGCCTGAGTTCAGATCTGCAGTATAGCTAGCAACTGGATTTCGACTAAAAAATCCTTCCTACACGGCTTCAGCTCCTCCTACTCCTTTTCCACCAAAACAGTGTTCTTTCACCACAACGTGTGGAAGGCGTGATTCGCACCCTCTCTTTTGCTTAATGGACTTCTGATTAGTTTTCGCTCGTCAACCCACTCATATGCGAGTCGAGACTTCCAGAAGAGTCGGCCCAGACCACCACCGGAACTCACCACCCCCCCTTCCCGGAGGCCAGTTGTTCGGACCACCTGTGGTCTCACTGAAAGAAGAAAGGACAGAGCTGGCCCCCGGTGATGGTCATAGTGAGTCTCGCGATCACGGGGTGCAATAAAACCCCCGTTTCGTGACTGCTCTGGTCCGGATATTGGCCAGGAGCCAGTCACAGTGGGAGATCGCGCGTGTCTGGTCTTATAACTCCTACTCCCACCCTCTCGATCTGAATATTATTTTATCCAAGTGTGAAGACTTGTCAAACAGACCATTTGAGTGCTTTTTGTAAGAGGCTCGGGGCTAGCTGAGAGCAATCAACCCTTTTCCTCTTGACGAACTTCAAAAATGATGCTACCGTCTGAAGCAACTTGAAATGGTGCTCGTGCCTGGTTTCCATGACGTCATTTGAGGGTTCGTGTCAAGATCTAAAACCCCCAGTCAAACATTCCACAGGCACTATGGGCCGCGACAAGTTAAGCTCTACTCACGACACTAAATATAATCCTTCCACTAGCCCAAACTCTACAGCTAACCCTAACCGTAATCCGAACACTCCCGATCGACGATGCCCACCATGCGCCCCACAGCAATGTGAAGCTGGCACGGTGGCTTGCGCAGCATCTACCGCACTCTCTCCGCTCCCGTCTGGGCCCAGTGTCAAGAAGGAGTTAAGAAGACCGGAGGCGAGCGAAGGCGCGGATGGGTGGCGCGACCGAACCCGTACCTGGGCCTACCACTCAGAATCCCCTAGTTCACAACAAACATTTGACCTGAATTTCAACCAACAACAACAACAACAACAAAAACAGAAAGACGATGATGGCTGAGCAACCATGCATGCATCTGTATGCCCTTCGGGAGCGCAAGGACATATACCGGCGGGGAAAACCAGGTGCCAGAGGACTGCCAGCTGAGGGGGCCATGGTTTGCTGATCATGGCATAGCATACGCATACAATCCTTTAGGCCCAGAACGGTGACACGCCGTCCTGCCTTTTGCCTGGACCATCACCCTTAAAAGACCGTGTAACCAGTCAGTCGTAGACTGAGAGGCACTACCCCTAGAATACACACTCACACCCACACACCCACCCACACACACACACGACAGTTCGACCATCGATTTCGATGATGTCCACCGTGTGCCCCACAGACTGCATTGTGGGATCAGGGACGGTGACTAACGCAGGGGTTTATAGTGCCAGTAGACTTGCGTAGCATCTACCTACACTCTCCTCCTCCCCCGCCTGAGCCCGGTGTCAAGACCAAGTCAAGAAGACCGGAGACGGGGGAGGCCGCGGGTGGATGGCTCGGACGGATCCTCGCCTTGGCGCTCCACTCCGCACCCCCTGGCCCACACACAAATGACCAGGATTTTGACCACAAAACAATGGGGTGGTGGCAGTGGTCCAGTTGTGCGACGAATGCCAACAACAGGGTCCGCCAGCGCACCCCGGGAATGTTGGCATTTGTTATTGCGCACAGATAACGCCTGCCAGAGTACGGTGTGGCCTCCGTGTTGGTCCAGCGCATCTAACACGTGGCCCGTTTAGAGGGCACCACCACCATCACAGCGGTATGCTTGCGAATGAATCAATCTACGTGATCCGTGATAGCAGTTCTAGCAGGGTCTTATACAAACGACCAAAATGCCGGGAAATTGAACTCACCTGTGCGCAAAAGAACAACTGAAATGGTCACGATACTGAAAGATGCTTTTGAGGTCATTGAGCAACGCAGCGGCCTAGCTAGTTTAGGGGATTTCCGGTTGCGATTATCTGCAAGAGGCATTCAAGTGGAAAATAGTACTTCGGCGAGTATAGGGCAGTGTGCCGGCTATTTTCTGAATATGTTCTTGACTGTGTAAACAAATTACCTATTTAAGCAGGTCTTTCTACTTATTGGTTTCCGGCGTTTGTATAAATCTATCCATAGCTTCTAAAGGAGTGCACGCAAATTACCTACCACAAAGGTTGCACTTGAAGAAAGAGGATACTTTGATTGTTAAAAGGTCTTTGAGGAGGCTGTAAGGCGCTATCGCTACCCCCGGGTTTACTTAATATGATCACAAATTACGCACCGCGATCCAAATTTACAGTAGGTGAGCTAACTCATGCAATGTCAACCGAAACTTCGAAATGCGTTTTCGTTTCGAAAAGATTAATTGAGTATGGTTGTAAAAATAATCATCCTGCAGCGTAATTCTACAGTAATTCAGTTGCCTCAAGATGCCGGTATTCGAATGAGCTTCCTTTCGGCTGCATGCAGAAACTGTACTATGTAAAAAATGACTGCTTAAATAGCATGCATATTTCTCATTGATTTGCGATACCCTTCAAAATACAATTTTATTTCATAGAAAACATGCATATAAATATTCGTTCCTTTGCATATTCGGTAGAAAATTGTGTTTTCTTTTAATTTTATTCTCGAAGGGAGGGTATAATTCAATTTTAAAAAAAAGTTTTCTAATTCCTGAACAATTTTGAACCCGACCTGCTGTTACACTTGCATTCACGGTTTCCAAACTACAGGCCGTATATTTACCATGTTCGGAAAACCATACGTTTCTTTACTGTATTAAGAGGAGACCATATGGGGCTCATAAAATTTAGCAGTGGATTTGAGCCATATTGTTGACTTTACAAGCCACATTGGTAAATGCAGAGACATTACTTTTTATGAACGGCCATTTAACGGTATTGAAAAATCTCATAATTAGAGGCTTTTTAAAACTGAATTATGCCCCTCCTTCGGGTATAAAATTGAAAGAAGAGGTAAACTTATGCCAAATGAGGGAAAGAATGAATATTTTCATGCATGTTTTCCATGAAATATAATTGAATTTTCAAGGGCATCGAAAATCAATGAGAAAAATGCATGCTACTCGAGCAGTCATTTTTTACAAAGTATAATTTTTGCATCCAGCTGAAAAGACGTTCTTTGAAAAGCCGACATCCTGTGGTAGCAGAATTATGTTGCAAGATGATTGGTTTTACAACATCACTTAATTAATATTTTCGAAACGAAATGCATTTTGGAGTTCCGGTTGACATTTCACAAGTTAGCCCAACTACTGTATTTCTGCATACTGTTGGCGCCGGCAGGCCATTGGATAAAGGCATGCAGGCTTTCACGAATCTATTTCGTAAGAAAATGTACGACAAAGAATTTTGGAATCCTACGAATCAGTGAAAATACAGGCATTTATGGACTATGTGGTGGGGAGATAAGACGCATTAAAGTATTGTTTCTTTATAAAGCAATATATGCAGATATCTGTAACTATACCCAGACTTGGCTTGGAATTACGCTCTCCACCAATGAGTTCTGCGACTTCAGGTAATTACTACTACTACTACTACTACTACTACTACTACTACTACTACTACTACTACTACTACTACTACTACTATCTGAAATTTTTTAACGCTGCACGACAACTAGACAAGATGCACCTTATCAAACTGTTTTCAGGCACTAAACAATTACTTTACTCTCTCCATCAAGGCTGCCGGGCGATCCGAGGTGGGAGCCTCAGCTCTTTGTCCGAATCTGCAAAAATCCCCTCAGACAGCGGTCCGCAGTCTCCGTCAGCCACCACCAACAGTGACGCTTTTCTGTTTTCTAACCAGTTGGCACCTCCACCATTGCCCATTTTTCAAATACCTTCGGAAACGGCTTCCTTCTTCAGCAGCCTCCCAGAGGAGCTGAACCAGTACCACCAGCACCAGCACCACCAACCTGACGCCTCCTCATCACCGTCAATGTCAATACCATCGATAAAAACAGAGATGTCCTCCTGGATGCCTCCGCTCTCATTTATTCCCCAGGGAACACCCAGCTCATCAGAATGCCATTTGATGACTCTGCCGACTTTTGAGTACTCATTTCCCGAAAGTCATCTCAGTCGGTACATGGCCGCAGCCGATACCTTCGCCCAGGTCCTTCCAACCTCCGAGATGGACTACTCGGCGTACAACGCGACTAGTTGCGCCAACGCGGCGTTTCAGCAGTCGACACCGCCACAGCCACCACCACCACCACCACAGCCGTTCCACGGAGAAGACTGGGTCGTAAAGCCCGAGGCGAACTCAGCCCTTGCTGGCGACGAATTCTCAGGCCATAGTTTCCAACAGTGGGAAGTGATGCAGCAAGAAGCCCAGCCGGAGATCCGTTTATTGCCGCACCTAGGTGATGCCCGCAACCGCGAAATAGCGGCCACTAATTCCTGCTCACCCAAAATCCTTCAGCAACCGGGAGATGGAGGTCGTGGAGTTGGAGAAGCCTGTACGATTGCAACCTTTGCCTTCTTCCAGCCTAGTGGCAGCAGCCTGTCCCCAGCGAACTACACTCAGGCGCAAACTAGCACTTATAGTGTGGAGGGCGCACAGTCCACGGACGTATCCGATGTCAGGACAGTCACCTCTGTCCAACACCCTCCTCCAACCTCATTGTCCGCTTCCCATCTCCAGCATGAATTGGAGCAGCCCTTCCTGGGTATGTTGCTCTCCTTGGATCAGGGCAGTCGTCAACAGCAGCTGCAAATTGGGCTGTCACCCAGTCGACACCTGCCCCTGGGTCTGCCCGCTGTTGGGGATCTTGGCTGCACTGGCGAAGCTGCAGGGGCCAGCACGGAAGTACCCGTTTCGGTGGGGATGGCGGCTGGCGGAGACCCCCTGGGGAGGGGAAGTGCTGATAATGGGACTTGCTCCCTTAGCACAAACCAGGAGGGTTACTGGAATGGTCAGCAGCAGGAGGAGGAGGAGGAGGGGACTAAAGCGCGTCGACTACCCTCCATGGAACAGGTGTCTCAGGACACCTGCCAACCCACCTACGATGACCTGCGAACTGACTGGTTCTCCCGGTCCATAGCATGGAAGACTGTGGGTTCTAGTTGAAGCTGGCCGTTACCTCTGCATCATCAATGGGCCTGTGAAGGTTGCTGTGATTTGTAAAAAAAAGGCTTTATACATGCAGGCATGCATACACGCAGACGCATTTTTACTTCCCCTTTTATATTTGTCATTTTTTGACCTTCCTCTGTTGTTCTTTACGCCGCGGTGTAGCCTGCTGCGTACCAAATAAAACCTAAAAATCAACAAATCTCTTCAGCGCTGTCTGTCCTTTCGGAAGTGTCATTAAGGCGGCCTGAGCGTTTGCTGCTGGTAGACCCAATGAGTCTTCAGCTGAACCGCAGGCTATGTCCTGCCGGTTGCAATCGGGAAAATACAATTGTAGCGGTAGGCTCACCGGTCGTTTCTACGGATCTCGCTCGTCCCGTTGTGCCGAACGAGTTCTCTCTCGAGCCCAACCAGCAGCTGTACATCGTCGCATGATGTAGGCTGAATAGCATTGCTGACATCGACAAGGGCGAGTGGAATGGCCATTTCTGGCTTTTCAGCTGTCGTCAGCCAGTCGTATCCGAGCCTGAAGTGTGGAGCATCTGGAGCTCGATCCCGCGACCCGTTGGTTAAGGAGTCAAACGCCTCTAACCGCTGAGCCACGGGCTCGTTGTCTTGTCGGTTGCGATCGGGAATTTGCAATGGTAGCGGTACGCTCACCGGTCGTTTCTACGGGACTCACTCGTCCCGTTGCGCTGAACGGGTTCTCTCTCGAGCCCAACCAGCAGCCGCACAGCAGCGCATGATATAGGTAGTATGTAATTGCCGACAAAGACAAGGGAGACTAGAATGACCATTTCTGGCTTACGACGGCTAATAAGCCAGAAACGGCTATTTCAGTCTCCCTTATCTCTTTTCGTCTTTATAGTAGGTCTTCAAAATGGCTTACTGTACTCACAGTAGGACTATTAGGGCCGAAAGCCTAAGCACTTGATTTGACGAGTTTTTGCGGGTGGGCAACGCAGTCACCAGGGGGTTCTGATCGTCGCTGAAACCGTCAACGTCAAAAATGTGACGTCGGATGCAACTCCGGGCCGGAAAAGGACTCTATAATGTGATCTGGAATTGGAGGCGGTCTTGCCAAGTCCGACTCCGATGGGTCAACTCAAAGTTCTTCGACCACTACTAGACGAGATTTATTTCAGTATAAAAACACTTTTTATCTGACCTCCAGGTTCCTAACCGGGCTGTGCCATGCCAAAGAGGATGCCATGTTTTGTCTCATACTAAGCGTTTGTCGGGCTTTGCTGACAATGAGTAAGCCCGTAAGGGCACGCACGTTTGTGACTCGCGTTGGACGGAGACTTTGGTCATTTCAAGGCTCATTGTCAGTCCAGTAAAAGGGCTCAAACAGGCCATCGGCGGATGGGGGAGGGATGGGGTAGGGTGTGGACGGAGGAAGCAATTCTCACAGCAAGTCAGCCAATCCCCCTCTCTACTAAGCCTGATAGGCTTGAGCATATCACTAGACGCTGAAAATCGTGGCTCAGAAGGCTGTTAGCCGATGCGAGACCATTCATTCGAGGGTCGGACTGCACTGGTTCCATCCCCACTGTGACTTTTATGGCGAGCACTCCTTCTTAAAGATTTTAAACACGTTAGATGGCGGCCTAAGGTCAGGCTGATCACCGCACCGAACCTCATCGCAGATGGGCTCGGCCCGGTCAAGCCACTGGTTTAGTGAGAGAGGAAGGAGAAAAGTGAAGGTTGATCCGACTGGGATCCAAGACCCCCCTTCTTCCTTGTAGACAGCCAGACAGGCTTTAGAACTGTTGCCGCACGATAAACACTCTAGGTATGGAAAGTCGCCAGTTGACGGGCAACTCGGTCTGATCCAGAACCAAGGGGCAAACTGTAATGGCTTTTTCTCCACTCGTGTGATCCCCCAGGCGCCTTGCCCCCTCAAAGAAGTCCAATACGTCAGGGGTTAATGGAAGAGTGCAGTGGGATCTATGCAGTGTAAGTCAGCCTCGTCAGAATAAAAATCTACGCTTTAGGCAGAATGTTATTACAGACGAAGACAAGGGAGACTGGAATGGCCATTTCTGGCTTATTAGCCGTCGTCAGCCAGTCGTACCCAACCCCGACAGGACAACGGGTCCGTGGCCTAGTGGTTAGAGGCGTTGGACTTCCAACTAACGGGTTCGAGAGAGAGCCCGTTCGGTACAACGGTACGAGTGAGTTCCGTAAGAACTATCGGTGAGAGTCCCTCTGCCATTACATATATATTACGACAGTGGGCGCTCACTGATCAGGTTACGGAACATGCTCGTTTCATTGTGCCTTGGGGCTCATACTAGAACCCTCGCAGGCAGTCGCACAGCGTTGGACTTCCAACTAACAGACCGCGAGTTCGAACCTCAGGTGTTCCACACTTGGAGATTGGGCATGACTAGATGATGACGGCTAATAAGCCTGAGATGACCATTTCGGCCTCCCTTGTCTTTGTTGGCACCATCTCATATATATTTATATGACCGCCACTGCAGCCAGACTCCTTGCTCATGGTAGGGTCGGATTATCCTGTTAGCTAGCAACCACTACTGATAGCATGGCGATATAGATGAGGAACACGTATAATCGTCAATAGTGAGAATCCTAAGCTCGAAGTGCAAGGATAGTACTGACAAAAAACTGGTGGAATGTAATGGTCTGTGTCGCTACATTCTACCGTCAACAGTCAGAGTAAGCTGGTAGGACCCAGATCTGACTCATTTCTATTTGGGCCATGGCCTCATGCTTTGTCAGTTGCGATAGGGATATTCCAAATAACTTAACGGTTGCTTCTGCCTAGCCGTACAGAACTCAGAAAGGAATACAGGGGCTGTGATATGCCAGGCATGAAAGCAGCCTCGTGAACGGAATAATAAAAGCGACTTTGGATTGCCTACTTAAGTAACATGCAAGTAGCCAGCGCTACTGCCCCCTCAGCCTGGGAATCACTATGACCTATCAGAGAAGTAGATTCGTGGAATGACTAAAGACTACCCTGGAGCGCCAAGGAGATTGAACTGAAAACTAATGAAGCTCTGACGCTGTCAGACCGCGGAAGAGCTGAGGCATGCGGCTAATTAAAGGGTTCTTCTTTCATATCCGTTGGAATGGACGGAATTCGGACAGCAGACTGAGTAACTGTCTGTGATGATGAGAAGCCCGAAGGCTTCTGTTACTGGGGGAAGTTTGAAGACGTTGTGCCAGATATCTTACTGATTTAGAAATGTCTTAGTACAACATCCGGGTCATTTCTGAATCAAGGACCCAATGAAGAGAGGGGTAGGTTGCCGATACAGGCAAAAAGACTGAGTTCCAGGAAATAACTGGGGAAGGGAGAGTGCGATCTCCCCCTAACGATAAATTTATTCATAAGGCACTTCTGACTCCATCTTGAACCCATCACCAGAGGCAACAGCACACGGGGGTAACGGGGACACCATAGGGGGCTATAACGCTTGAAGAATGAATTTGCCACGTAATCGCCGACATTAACAGCTTCAGTGCTTATCACAAATGTGCGCGTCTGTTGCGGTGATGGCATGGATACCTGCACCCGAGTTCTTCTCCTGACTCGATTTCATCATGGGATGTGTGAGCGGCATGATTTGTGGTCGCATCTCAACTGTTGAGGATCGCTCATTCCGTCAAGCAGCCAATGCAGGCTAAAAAGACATTATTATCTCGCCGACAGCACCCAAATTGGCGATTTTGGGTGCGACTATGAGGAACAAAAGGTAGGTAGGTGTGAAAAATGAGGGAATTTGGATATTTGTAGAAGGAAAGAACGGAAGCCGGCCTCAGCAACTATTAGAACGGTTCTCTTAGGTCCTATATTTGTGCGGGATTCCACCCATTTAAACTCTGCAAAAATCAGGAATAAATGCACAGACTGTGCACCGGTACCTACAGTAGGTGGGCTAACTCATGCAATGTGAAACAAAATTCCGAAGTGTGTTTTCATTTCGAAAAGATTAATTAAGTAGCGATGTAAAACTAGTCAGCCTGTAACATAATTCTATAATACTTCAATTACCTCAGGATGCCGGCTTTCGAATGAACTTCTTTTCGGCTGCATGCAAAAACTTTACTCTGTAAAAACGACTACTTAACTAGCATGAATTTTTCTGATCGATTTTCGATGCCCCTAAATGTCCAATTATATTTCATGGATAGCATGCATAAAGATATTCATTCTTTTGCTCATTCAGTAGAAAATTACGTCGTCTTCTAACTTTGTACTCGAGGGAGGAACATAATTCGGTTTTCAAAAAGGTTCTAATTGTGGGACTTTTAAAAACCGTGAAATGGCCGTTTATAAAACGGCATGTCTCAGCATTTACCAATGTGGCTTTTAAGGTTATCAATATGGCTCAAATCCACTGATAAATTTTATGAATCCCATATGGCCTCCTCTTAATACCGTAAAGAAACGTATGATTTTCCGTACGCGTAAAATATACGGCTTGTAGTTCCGAAGGCCTGAATGTAAGTGTAGTGGCAGGTCAGGTTCAAACTTATTCGGGAATTGGAAAAGTTGTTGAAAATCGAATATAAGATCGGAAGAAGACGTTATTGTCTACCGGAACCGCATTTCGGAATTTTGGTTGAAATTTCATGAGTTAGCCCACCTACTTTAATCTGCATTGTTATTGGTCGCTACATGACTACTTACAGGAGCTGCACGCTGAACCCCAAAACAGCAGCTGACGAGCCTATGCCGTAGCCTGACTGGCAAATTATCCTCTCACGTTCGAAGGGACAGAGGGCCCGTGACCGAAGAGAAGACCGCTGGACAGTTGTCAAATGATCCAATTTCGAGTGCGGGGCAATTCAAACCTGTGTTTAGGGTTACCCAACTGACAATGACCAGGAAGCCAGAGGCCAACGATCAAATACTTGTATTTCCGCTGGATTTCGCAGTGTCTCACTACTTAAAGACAGCGTGCGTCCCTGGTGTATCCACCTCATACCGCATCGCGCTCTCTCCACCGATGGCGTGGACA